TTCCCCGCAATTGTTAGCTTAACAAGTCGATAAAAGGAAGTTTGTTGAAGTCCATTCTTGTTCTGCCTTTTTTCATCATTATTCATTCTCTTTTTTTTCTCTAGGCCCAAAATATTATCTTTTGCAGGGTAAATGTATCTTCAGTAATGATAGTGATTCTACGGCATCAAATATCATAAAGTAATTTTGCAGGTGCAAAGTATAGACTGAGTATGGGGTTGTACCACTGCTCTTTCAAAGATCTCTTCCACAACTTTTCAATTAATATTTGGAGTGTGATTCTTTGTATAATCATTAGAAAAAAATTATATAATAACATGGAAGAAATGTCTTGGGGAAGAATTATATAACTCTGCATACTTTTTTTTAAAGCATATTTTAGTTATCATTTAAATTCTTAGAATTGTGTTTTGTGATGATTGTTCTTAGTCAATTATATCTTGAGCAAGATTTTTAGTTGAGGAATTTTTATTTGCAATTGACTCCATAGTAATCAATTATCAGAGTGAAAGTTATGTATACATGGAAAGCTTAGATAAAGGAAGCAAGAATGAATGGAACATAAAAACTATAATTACCAGAATATTTGAATTAGTTGGCTCATACTACCTAGCAGTACCCAATCCCGATACATGAATTATTTAGTAATGTGCAGCTTGTATTGCTCCCTTGTCCCACGCACTCGCTAGACATTACTTTTTTTTTTTTTTTTTTTAGTAGTCAGTGTTTGGTGCATGCAAACCAATCTTTTTTTTTTTTTTTTTCCCCCCAAAAATCACTCAACTCTAGGCGAAAAAAACAATCTTGTGAATATTTGGTAATTAGTGCTCTTAGTTAGTTGCTGTTACAGCTTTTTAAAAACACTTTGCAAAGTTAGTTTTAATGTAATTAGTGAATACAACTCTGAAGCAGTTTTTGATGATAGTATTGTTCCATGCCAATGAATCATATGTCTTTCCTTTCATTTAAACTTACACTTTTGAAACTGAATGTTTTTATTCAATGTTTCAGTCAAAAGGAATTTGTCATAATCTTATACAACGCAAAAAGTTATTTAGGCGAACATTTCATTTTTCTATTGTCACAACAAGCTATATAAAAGGCTGCTCAGAAGTATGTAATTTTTTCTCTGCTTTTATAGAATGGAAAGTCATCACAGAAAATGAGTCAGTTCTTCAGGATTGAATCACTAAACTGAGTGTTACACAGATTTGTTGGATCAACCAGCCATCCAACGTGCAAGGTTGACTTTAGAGAAGCGTTTAGTATTTGTTTTTTGCCACCAAAAACCCTTACTGAATTTCTAAAGGTAAGAGAAATACTCTGTGAAAAATACTGTGATAGAACTATTGGAGTGGTTTCTCAACTGTTAGAGCTGAAGCGTTTTTATTTGTCCACCTGAGAGATGAAAAAAGTATCTACCAGAACTTTTTGACTTCTTTTTCTATGAAATGCATCTCTTGAGCATAAAGAGCAAGCCAGAGGCTTTCCTTCCTCAATAAAACAAAATTTGCCGATGGAAATAAAGAGTCTTAATACTGATCATAATATTTTTATCTGTCTTTGAGTCTTTCATGGGCCTAAAGTACAAGAATATTAATTCCTTAAAGATGTGTGAGAGAATGCCCTTTTTAACAGGCCTACCTCCAATAGTGAAATCAAACCTGGATCATGCAGTAATAGTCTAGTTTGCAAAAGAAATCCCAATTTCCTTTCCCCTTAACTGACTCTCACATCAACATTAGAAAGATTTAGCTTTGTAAAAGTTGTATTCTGGGAGGTTTGTCGTCAGAAGTCTATTTCATAAATAGATGTAGCAGTCGCGGGCTTGTTAGGACCCCAGGGCACTGCCTGTCGTGCATCTAGGGGAAAAGGATTGTGCCTTTCTGCTAATAATATTGTACAGGTTATTTAGCCAAGAACTGGGCTTTCTATGGCTTTGTAAAGCTGTTGGAGGTACAACAGCAGCTCATGTCTTTAGCCAGGTTCTCATTGCTGGACAAATCACTAGCACAAATCAGCGGTACTCATGCAGTGATTAATAGCATGCAATGATTAACAGTATTACAGGCCCTTGAGTTGCATGCTTTGGAGGCCAGGATGTTGAAACCATGTTCATACATAAGTCTTTTAACATGTATATGTACATACATAAATATGTATATACCATTCCAGTTTGGATTGGTATCTTCACCCATGTGCATTTATGTAGTTAGAACTTAATATGTAAGACAGAGGATAATTTGGACCAATGTAGAAGTCTCTTTAAAATAGGTTCTCTGGTAGCTGAATAATTTGATACAGAACCAAATCTATAGGAATGGTAATTATCACACTTATGCCTCAATCTTTATGTTTTGCTTGACATCTTAAATTCAGAATCGAATGTTTGGGATTGTTGCAATTCTCAGCAGAAGGATATGTGAAAACTGTTGTGATTTCATAGCACCTCACTGCAGAATTGATGATGGATTACCAAGACTTGTATGCACAGAAGTTATAAAATGCTACCCTATTAGATGCTTTAACCATGCCAATCTCCTGGAATTTAACCCTAAGGCTGGCCTGCAGTATTTTCCTCCTAGTTCTCTAAATATGTCATTCATACCTACAAGCATTCCTATAATTTGTTGTATAAGCAAAAATGTACCTTATCTTCTTTTGTCCATCTGAAAGCCATTAGTTAGGCCAATGGCACCAATGATGGGATGATCCCAAATTCTTGTTTTTCAGGGTCCTAAAACCAATTGGTGAGTGTTCAGAACAACCAAGTTGTACCACACTTTTTTTTTTTTTAATTCTGTACAGTTATAGGCATTTTTATCAACACTCCCACGTTCTTTTTCTTTTCTCACAAGATAATAAACTACTAGGTGCTTCTTTCTGCAGTGTTCTCTGTTCCTCTCTTCTTTTTCTCTGAATTTTCCTGACTGCATTTTTGAGACTATTAAATATCAAACAAGGCATAATTCAGGTGATCCACTTGTTTCTTCCTGGCAGTAGCTATTATATTTTATATATTTCTATATACATAAAAGAAATCAGACCTCTGTGTATAAAACTACTGGGTTACTTGGCCCGTATCTTGCAGCACCATGGCCAGAGTCTTCAAGTGGGCCTCCAGTGTTGGCAGAGCTGCTACCTGGATAAGCACCATGGAGAGAGTCTTTAATAGGCTGGGGAATTTCAACAGCTTTTTGGCTATTTGGCCTAGAGCAGAGCCAGGGCTGTTTCAATTTAGGCTCTGTATTAAACCAGTATTACCCTCTTATACCATGACTGCAACCATGCAGTTATGGCTAGTTCTTGTCACCAAGCAATAGTCTAAAAAGGGTTTATGTTAAGAGTTTTACTGTTGTTTGATGTTTTTGTGTGTGTGTTTTTTGTTTTTTTGTTTGTTTGTTTTTGTCACGCAAACATCTTTAGGAACGCTCCTTTATAAACTGTATTTGTGTGTAATGTAAGTTTGACCAGAAGAGATTACTTTGCTACTTTCTTCATCTTTAGTTATTGCACTGCTGCTGAGCTTTCTAATCTATTGTTGCATCTATGGAAATGATAAGAGAATGAAAGTTAGCATTTTTTTATTTGACTGTCCACCTGGACGAAAGTAAATGATGAATTGACACTTTAAATCTAACACACTGCATGAAACTTTTGATGCATTCATTCTGTGGTTTAAGATTTCCCTCCTTTTTGAAGGGAATAGAATTTCTTACCTTTTAGGGGGCAGGACCAGGGCCAGGTAATGCCCTTTTTTCCTAGCTTGATTGTTAGGTTTAAATATTTAAGAGAATGTTTTCTAATATCAAAAGGTCAAGTGACCTTTATATTCTGTAGCTTGTCTGGATTTATTTTTCTTTTTTCTAAATGCTATTTCTATTAAGAAAAACTGTATTGAATGACAAATAGCTTTGATCTATGAATAGGGAACTTTCTAAAATAGCTATTTCTTTCTGTTGAGGATGTGTAGCAGGCTGGCATGCTGGACTGTTATGACATTTTGTTCATATTAGTTTGTAAGATCATTCTCCATCATCTACATTTGTTTCTGCCTTAGAGAGACTTCACAAAATATCAGATCTTGATAAACCAGCCCTCAAACTGACCTTGCAGCTTTTAGTGAAAATAGTTCTCGGCTCAAAGATTCCCAAGCTTTTCTTGTGTTGTAGGTATCTTGGGATAATAAGATATCTTGCCCTTGTAAGTAGATTTCTCTTGTTCAGCCCAGCAATGCTGCATATGCTGATCAGGTCCAGTTGAGATCTCTGCTAATATCAGACAAACCTAAAGATTGGAAGAACAAAACAAACAAACAAAAACCCACCAAAAATGCCTTAGAAAAGCAAAGGGTTATCTTTTTCAAGGGCATTGTTTAAAAAAAAAAAAAAAAAAAAAAAAAAAAATTGAAGCATATTGTTAAAGCACTTTGCTTCTGATGTCCAGATCTCACTAGCTTGCCTTTATGATGTTGGTGATACATTTCTGATATAGGAGTCAGGATTCTCTCCCATGAATGGTGTCTTTTGGAATTGACTTTTCAATTGATTTTTAAAACACCATAGTTATAGTTATATCCAGGAGTTATTAAGATTTTATTGAACAATTGAGAACTTGGATTAGTTCCTGATTTCTGTGATGATGCAACTAAACTACTTCAGAAATGGAAAGGATTCATGAAGTGATTTTTTTTTTTTTTTTTTTTTTTTTGAGAGAAAACTTTGTTCTGATAGTGTTAGTTCATGACAAGTCTTTTATTAACTTGTCATCCATGGAAAGCCAGATGAGTTATTTTTGAGAAATGAATAACTGATTAGTCTATTTCCTTTTTCTTTCTGCCCCATGCTCTCAATATTAGTCCAGTCTATGTCCCAATTCTCTAACATTTCAGAGTGGGGTGATTACTGTTGCTCCACAAAGTAGTATACCATTTTGTAATGTACTGCAGACTTGTCTTTTACATAAAGTACCTTTTTTGATTTTGTTTCCTTCAGGTTCAGCATGACTAGTATGTTCCGAGAAACGCCCACACCTGATGCTTCTCTTTCTGAAAATGTTGATGCTAAGCTGTCCTTTCTACCTGAAAGAATGAGAAAGAAACTGCTTCCTTTTCAGGAAAAAGGCATCTTATTTGCACTTCAAAGAGGTGGCAGGTAAAGTCCTATTAGTACTATATGCTGAAAATAATTATTTTAGGAAAATATCAGAGAGTAGTTAGGCTGTGCAAAAGAGCAACACTTAGTAAGCTTTATTGTAGAAATTTTATAAACTCTAAATCAGTCTGGTTTAAAGCAAGGAGTGTATTTTTCTTGCCTGGGGATACACAAATTCATTAATGGTGCATTATGCAAGTGAAATTGGTATTATCAATGAACTTCTTATTTAAGAGAAGTTTAAAATCTGTAGGACCATTCATTTTGTCCTGTTAATAGAAGATTCTTAAAATAAGTTAATTCAGTTGTGCTTCTGTGGTTCTTAATGGTGTGGTAGAGCTGTTAAGAGAATGACTAACAGATCCTGATGCAGTCGTGTAGTGTTCTATTTTAAACTTGATACGGTTCTGGCATGTAGTCAAGATGTTTTGGAACTCGCTGAGCTGCAGCAGTAGAACTGAACTCAGGCAGTATGCTTTTTAATGTTAGCAAGTGTAACAGGTGATAGAGCAGGTATTCAATAACTAAATAACTGACAAATCAGAAAAATACCATTGTTGATACTATTTGTTGTTCTGCTTTCATTCTGAAAGCCAGTTTTTATTAACAAAAGATTGAGCAATCACTAATGGTTCTACATGAGTATAAAAGTATATTCATCATGGCTGCAAGATTTGTTGGCATAGCAATTTTGTGTTATCTGCGTCAAAGCAAGGAATCATGCATGCTCTCAGCCTCCATGTAAAGTAAAATGTCTCAAGTTGAACTTTACTGAAGAGTGGTGAGTGTTTTTCTGTTGTTGTTGTTTGTTTTTATTTTTAATATGTCCCTTGTTCAGCCAGACCTGATTTTCTTTCAGTCTCAAAACAGAAAACAGGAGCCTGTGCTGCTTGTAGCTGACTTCTGTTATTGGTCTGTCAGCCCTTGGTTCACCCATATCTTTCCCTTTTGTGTGCTCCTTGATGATTTAAGTTTTCTCTCAGTGTTCCCACTGGTGCATTTTTAGCACAGTCTGGTAGTTTTCCATAGAAATGTCTTTTCAAGTTTTCAAAATATATAAACATAGGACTTGAAGTAAGCAGTATGCGGATTTGAGCTCTTCTTTCTTCTATCCCTCAGGCTATGTACTCCTTGTGCAGTCATCACTTAATCCTTGCTTTGCCTTAGTGACAAGAAGCTGCTGTAGAAAAAGTGCTCCATTGCTGGCTGAGTAGATCCAATAAGTATTAGCAAATGCCCAGGTTCAGAGAAAGACTTTGTATTAGAACAAAATTTAATTCTTGAATAAAATCTACACTCTGAGATGACTATGGGATGGGGTTTAACCTATTAATCCTCTTCCCCTTCGCCACTCCTTTTCCCTCATCCTAAAACAAATACACTGCTGTGGTTTATACTTTTGCTTTTCTAGGAAAAGGGGAGGCAGCCTTTTCAGTAAATGCTACAAAAGCGTTATGTAAAGTAATGCATACTGCCTAACAGTCTTCTAAAACTCTGGAATCAACAAGACGTAATTCTACGTGCACTAAAATACTTTCTAGCTTATAGTTATTATATCTCTTCAAGACATGTATGTATGGCTGCTTATTCCTTCATAGATAATTCTTCAAAAGTGCATATGAATGCAGATATTTTTGATTTTTCTTTCTTTATAACCTCAAATATTAATGTGCAGAAAGGATATGTGCACACACATTTTGTCCATGAAAGCTGCTTTATTTTTATGCTTTCAGGAAAAAACTATAACTTATTTTTAAAAATACATTTGTATTTATCCTTTTTCTGTTCCTCTTGAGAAGACCAAATTTGCCACTTCCAAGACCATGAACTCATGGATACGAGATTAGGAGATCTCTAGGTTCTTCCACTTGTTATCAGCATACATTTGCAAGTTGTTTATTAGTCAGTCACTGTGTGTTGGACACACCTTGATAAATCCCTATTTCCTAAGAGCTGAAGAAAACCTAATGGCAAGTGAGGCAAACTAATAACCTTAAAACAAAGATGTCATCTTGCTTGTTGGGCTTACAACTTCTAAGTAATAAAATGCACTTTTCAGGCCTATTTTATACTTCCTTGTAAAAATCTGTGAAGTATACAGGAAGAGGTTGGCTTGAGAATAAGGGCCTAAGCTATACTGAGAAGCCACTGGTCAATGGGCAGGTGTTAGGCAGGAGGAAATGTGACAGTGCTGGAAAACATAGTAGTTAGGGTAAAATATCCAAGATGCGGCTGTGTATCAGCAGATGACTTGTATTGATAAGGACTATATTCTCTCTCTTTCTTGTTTTGTTTGAAACCCACATCTCTCTTTGGATATTAATCACTGACTAATGATTTTAGTGTTGCTATACACCTGTGTTCTTGTTCACTTGAAAATTCAGTCTTTTAATATCCTGCATTCTTGTTTTATATCCTGTCTTGATTAAAAAGCGCATAACTTTCCATTTCATATGTAGTCAGTTTGGACACCTGAATATTTAGAAATGCTTGGAAGTTAGCTTGCTTGTTACTATTGAGTGACATCTACAAATCATATCAATAACTGCTTTTCCGAGTCATAATAAAAACTGTCAGCCCAACATAATTATTTAGCATTGCTTGCTTTGTCAGTAGTGTCATAGAAAGATGACTTCAGACAAGCAGATTTTTTTTTTCTAGAAATGTTGGCAGAACAATCTGTTTTAGCTATCTTGCTTGTGGATGCAAAAGGACTTGCAAATGTTTACCACTCATGAAACAAGCATTTTCCCTTATGCTTATATGTTAGACTAGTAGTAATAAAATAATCTAATTACCTGCTACATGTTTTTTTCTCATTTTCTTACATAAGATTCAAAGCATACAAATTCACTAATATCATAGCTACTGTTTGTCTGGAAAAGATTTAAAATTTCTTTTTGATATAAATTTAAATATTGAAATAGTTACTGGTATATTTGCCAGGGATTCTGTTATCCCCTAGTGTTGTTTCCTGTATATGTTTTTTTTTAATGATGACTTTGTAAGCGTGAGAGGCAATATGTTAACTTTTTATTTGACGTTTATACATTCTGAAGCATCTAATTTTTGGTTTTGCATACATACTGGCTTGTTTTTTTGAGATTTGGTACAGCAATAAGGAGGTAAATAGCAACAGATGGGAATAAAATAATATGCAGAGCTTATATCCTTATATCTGGCATTTAGATCTACCATTTGTAAAGAAAAGGTGTGAACAGTTTTTCTTACTCTAGAAAACATGCCTATATTTAATGTTGTTATGGAGAGTAGTCTACAGAACATCATTTATACTAAATTCTTCCAAGAAAAGGTACACTTCATAATAGTGTGTGGGGTTTTTTTGTTTGTTTTGTTTTTGTTGTTGTTTTTTCCTCCTTCTGACTGCATCTCTGATCTCTAGCAGGGCAAGGTTATAGTTATTTTTTCATTAATTAAAACAGATGCTTAGCTTCAGGAATTTGTCTGTCTTTAGATAAATAGACATATTCCCCCTCCTCAAAGCAAAGCAGAAAAACAGAGGCTCAAATCAGAATTTCCTTAAGCTTAAAAATATGGCTAAAAGCTTCTTCTCCAGTTCCTCATTTGAAAGCTAGAGTGCAGATACACAGTTCTGAATTTGTAGTACTTGGATCATAGAAATGATATCTAGGGCAGGAAACATTTGGCTGTGTTCAGAAATCCCAGCTGCACTGTACTGCTTTGATGTCGTGATTTTCTGATAGAAGTGATACCCAATCTTGGGTCTGCACAAATTTGTTTAAATTCCTAAGAGGGTAGGAAAGCTAAGGAAGAAGAGGCATGTCTGCATAGAAATTGAAGGTGGGTATACTTGCCTATCTGAGCAACCAGTACTGTGGTTTGCACATCCAGGGCCTGGAGAGGCTTCTTTTAATAGTATCATTTAGACCTTTGAGAAGAGGTCACCTTTGTTAAACTTTGTTTTTCTAGACTCTGAATAAGATGAGGTAGATTTCTCTGTATTAGCCATAATACAAAATTTCCATTTAGGTCGAGTATTTTTATTTTTTGCAGTTTGACATCCTAAGAGAACATATATTCACTCTACTTTTTTTTTTTTTTAATGCAGATTTTAGTTGATGCCAGAACAGTACATTCTAGTCTTGTATATTTTTGTTCAACTATTTAGCTTCCATTCTTTTTCATCCTTTTTATTGAGTTTGATCCTATTTTTATGGTGATTTCTAATTTTCCTTTCTCAAACTGTATAATGCCATTGTCCCCTTTGTCTCTTTGTGTTAGTCCATGCATACTTGTCTTTGAAATATTAAATACATTGGCCAATGTATTCTCATGCCCTTAAATTCTTAATAAAGTATTTGAGATGTTTCTTTCATTTACAAGTTAAGGAGTATTGGAGAAGAGAATAAGACTTAGCATAAACATTCTCTACTGTACTCCTTTAGGCAATTAATAACACTGTAAATGTGGCGCTTTAGTGCATTTTACAGGCCTTAGTTTTAGAATGTTCTTTTGTATTGTTTTAAATACCTAGTGTAATTCAACAGCAAGAGTATCATCGAGCTTGAATCTTTTGGGGCTCTATTTTTGGAGAGGCAACCTTGATTTTTTTTTAATTTTCTTTTTCTCAAGGAAGTCATCCCTGTTCTTATTTTAGGACTATATTCTGTGATTACTGACACACAAATGTAACGGTTGCTTGCGCAGTTTTATATAAAAATGTACTAAGTTCAGATTCCTTAAATAACCCATGGTTAAGATGTTAGTGCTAAAGTGTTGGCTTGTGAGTAGGAGGAAAATTACATGTTGTAGTGTTATATAAAACTGACTCACATGAGTAGGTGAGAATCCCAAGAATATCAGGACACCCACACTAGTGAAAGAAGGATGCATGCTTCCTCTGTACAGCATGTTCCAAGGACTCCATTAGCAAAAACAGCATTAATTTGTTTGAGCAGTAACCAAATTTTTCAGTGTTTTAAGAAATCTAGTGCTACTGTTGCGACAGTTTTTCTGGG